TATACAGATTGATTCTCCAAGCATGCCCACCACCATTAGGTGGTCTGAAACAGTGTTTCTCAACCTGGGGGTCGCCAATTTATTATTTAGGGTCGCAATCGAATGATTTAAATCAATGCGAAAATTAAAAGCTCAAATAATAAAAAAATAAAATCAATAAAATATTATTATATTACATACCTTTTACGAGTATAGATTATTTATATTAAAATGGAAAACACACTATTATCAAATTTAATGGTCTATAATGATAATCTAAGCGAGCATGTAAAAAATATATATGTAAGGGTCGCTAAAAAATTTAAATTTAAAAAAGGGGTCGCCACAGTAAAAAGGTTGAGAAACACTGGTCTGAAACATAAATTATTTTTAGTTATTATTATGTTTTTAAAATATAAATTTTAAAGTACAACACAATATTTTTATAACAAAAATATATATGGTAAGTACCATAGTTTTTATATATATATTATTTATATTATATCTTTACTCTGTTTTAGAAACAAAGAAGTGTATATAGGACATTCTTTAAATGGCATACAATTATTTCAAAATATGGCCTTTAAGTATACATAAGAATTCCAAAAATCAGAATTTGAATGGATGCATATAGTTAAAAAAAAAAAATGGGGAATGCTTGGTTAGTTATTAATTTTAAATTATGTTAAGTGAATATTCAAATAAATAATTACGGTTCATGTTCTCTTCTATCTTTAGAGTCCTGATCCCTGAAGTCGCGTTTATTTCGTGAAGAGGATTCATACTTACTCGAATTATGATTATCTTCTTCTGATTCTGAAACAATAAATATTTCCATTAATTTATTTAAAAATTGAAATATTCTATGTACTAGTAATATGCACCTAAACACCAATCTGGAAGTTCTGGAGCTAGTATAGGTTCTTCATCTGAATATCGTTGAAATAATTCAACTATATAATCTTGTTTGTAAATTCCAGGAGGTCTAAAATATATATAATTTAAAATTATTAAAAAATAACATACATGAAAATGTCTAATTATATTTAGATACCATATTATTTGTGAATAGGAAAAACTTATTCAAACTTTTACATAACTTATAAAACTAATTTTATTATTTTTACGGTTATAACATGTAATGTATAGTACAAATTTGTAATGAGTAATGACTAATGTTGATTAGTGGTTTTTAAACGCCTAAAATAAGCATTCATATGCTATTTTTTATTTTGTGGATTGAGTCACTTTGTCATTTTATTTTATGCAATAAATTGTATTACATTGTTAATAGAGTTATGAAGTATTATTTTTACCTAAAAATACATGTCATGAGTATTTATTCAAATTAAGTATCTAATAAAAACATTATGTAACAAAAAATATTAAAATGTTTAGTTGAGATTTTCAGAACAATTTTACCTAAAATATAAAAAGTAGTGTTCAAATTAAACGACAAATAAAATAAAATGTTAGCAACAAAAACATTTTAATTTTTATAATAAGTAACAAATTAAAATTAAAAAACTTTAATTCTTAAAAGATGTGTTAGTAAAATGTTCAATTGTTATATCTCTCAAGAAATCATGGCATTTGTATGGCTTAAGATATTAAATAGTAAATATAGATACTTTGTATGTAGCGTCACAAACAAGTTATTGAATTATTTCATTTATTTTCAGCTGCAAAAATATTCTTAGATATTAGTTTTAGGTATTTCCCTGTATTGCCATACATTAATTCAACTATTTCAGAAAAAGGTAGTATAAATAATATCTTACCTAGCTGCCGCAAATTGAGCTATGGCACTAGTTACATCAAAATCTAATGTTTCTATTAAATAAGTTGCTATCATAAATCCTGTTCGGTTAAAACCATGAGTGCAATGAACACCTAGATAAAAAAAAAAATGATTATTATAGGTAAAAGTAAAACAAATATATATTAAATACAACCAACCAATAGACAGCAAAGGATTTTTTGCAATAAATTTTGAACAAATATCTACAAATAGTTGTGCTTGGTCTCGTGTAGGAGGTTGTTCATGACCAGCGCATGGGATTTTTACATAAGTACAACCCGAATCTTCGATTTCAGATTTATTATAGAAACGACTAGTTTTTGTCAGATCAATCCATAAACCTATACTTACCTAAAAAAAAAATTAAATACTTAATATAATATTTATTTGTTAAATGTGTTTAAATAGATATAAAATAAGCAACTATGGTTGGTAATAATTGTTGTAACTTGGAAAATGTTATCATTTTAAAATTTAAAATTTTAGATTCTGAGTAGAATATAATAACTAATGATTTAAGAGGATGCCATATGGGCATTTGTTGTCCAGTCTTACAAATATTGCAACATTTTATGTTCACAATAATACATTTTACTCTGTAATTTCTAAAATTAAAGTGAATTTACTTCTTATAAAATTTACAGGCAAGAACATTATCTAGGGCAGCGTTTCCCAAACTTTTTCTCTGCCGGACCCCCTTAGAGAAAATAAAAAAGATCGCGGACCCCTAAATAAAAATTTAAATTAAAGCAATAATAAATAATAATACTAAATTGTTTGCTTTATTTTTAAAATTAAATACACATATGTTTATAATGAAAAATTGAATTAATAAAAAAAAAATGGATAAATAGATATATTATTTTTATAATAAATAATTAATGCGTTTAATGTGATGGATGGTGTTGTTTCTTTAATACTAAATCTGGTATTTTAGGATCTATATTAGAAAGTTGAATACGTAAATCTGATTCTATATTTAATCGATTTCTATATTTATTTTTAGTGTACACATAAGCTGAAAATCCTTTTTCACAGAGATAAGTTGTTGAAAAAAGCATCAATGGCCTTAGTGCTGAGTCCGATATTTCTGGATAGTCTTGTCTTATACTCAACCAAAAAGAAGACAAAGAAGATTCTTTGAAAACCCTTTTTAAATTAGAATTACTGGATATTTCGATTAATTGATTATCTTGTGTTGTTGTTAAACCAGTTATATCAGGGACATCTGCATTAAAAGGGTCTACTAACCAATTTTTATTTTTGTCAGGAACTGGAAAATATTTTCGAAATGAATGTTTCAAAATTTGGAGGTGTTCAATAATTATATCTTTTGTGTCCTGAGGAAAAACTTCATCGGATGATTCTATAAATGCATAAAGAGTTGGAAAGTGGTTAAAATTGTTTTGAAGGGCACGTTTTCTCCATAGCTTCAATGTTATCCTCCGTGTGAAAAATATTGTCTTCTTTCCCTTGTAAACTAATATTTAATGAGTTCAGAGAATTAAAAATATCAGCCAAATAGGCCACTGTACAGAGCCATTCAAAATTATTGAAAAGATTTGCATATTTAGTAACTAATCTTAATTGCTTTTCAACGATAACTATTTCAACAATGTATTTATTATCAACAGTATTTCCCATGTAATACGAATATTGCATCATTATTTTCGTTTTATGGATAGGTATACTTTGTAAATTTTTAATTTACGTTCGCGGACCCCCTCCGGTATACGTGCGGACCCCTAGGGGTCCGCGGACCACAGTTTGGGAAACGCTGATCTAGGGTATCTCTGAGGATTTTATTGATACTAGTTTTAAATACGTTATGACCATCTTTAAACTGTACATTTTTGCGAATTACACAGTAAATGTATAATTTTGAACGTAGAATTTGCCATGTAGTAAGTTTGTAAGGCGAAGACAACAAATACCTATTTGGCGTCAACTTGACAGGTACGCATTTTACCAGAAAACACTTAAAGGAATGGTAAATATGTTCCAAAATGTTCATGACTCATGTAATGAATATTTTGAAATTAAGCATAAATGGTTCTTCTTTTTAATACCTTAAGGAACAGTTTAATAATAAAGAGTACTTTGGTTAGAGATTTGATCAAAGAAGGTTTCTGAATGTTATGATTTATAATTGCTTTCTAGTTAGGTAATGATATTAAAATACTGAATATATATTTAATTATTTTTAAAGAAACTAAACAGTTATCAGCTGTTTTTAAACAGCTTGAATTAATACTTAAATAATAATGATTAATGTAACTTTATAATTTAAGTCCTGGTTAGAATTTCTTATTAACTTTCTTAAAAAGATTGAAGATAACCACAACTAGAAAAAAGATTTACATTCACAATTTTTATTTTCATTTGCAAAAAATTACTATTCACTTTATATATTGTATTATGCAATACCTTCATATTAGACATTGATGAGAACAACATTTCTGCATTGAACCTATTCTCGATAGGTATTTGATCATCATATTTACTATCCAGTGGTGTTTTGAATGCCACAAATTTTTCAGTTATAGTTGTATAAGATTTACGAGGGCATTTAATCCAACGCTCAGGGATAGGGGGACTGTGTGATGAATATGATGAGCTAGATCCATAACGCTTTGATCCTGCAAATTGGTTGTTAATACTTATTAATAAATTTTGTTTACAAACAATAATGTTTTGGTATGAGATATTAGAAGTTGTTCTACTAGTATTATATTTTCATATAAAGTTTGGTTTACCCGACATAGTTTTTTTTTTTCAGTTTTAAGCGGTCAGTTTAAAATAAATTAAATATTGTGTTCCATCAAGAATCATAGTATGTGATTTTAATTTAATTTGATAAATAAATAATACACAAAGTCGTACTGTAGTCATTGAGCATAATAATATAAGAAATGCATAATGTAAATAATTCGTTATAATATAAAACACAAAATTATTTTCACATCTCACAGTCAAAACAAGTCAAAAAATATTCATTATAAAGGAAATAGTTGTTTTTTTCGTTGACTCTGTGGTCGTTACCTACAATATCAAGTATCAACGATGATAAATTGATAACGTCAGTTGAGGACGTTTGTTTACTTCTTCGAAGATACAAACAGTATTTGAATTTTTTACTGTTCCATGGCGCACTGACGCTCTACCGGTGTTTTTCTTTCACGATCGTTTTTCGGTTCTAACTTCTGTACCAACAAACAAAATATACGAGTCGAAAAATTTCTGTATATTTTCGCAATTCGGCATTTCGGCATCGGTTATCCGGCATGTGTTTTTGAAGTGTTGTACTCGATTATTTATGATTTATGATTTTCTTTTAACATTTTCCTAGTTTGGAAATCGAACCGTCGACATGGCCGAGTACTTGGCATCTATATTTGGTACCGAGAAGGATAAGTAAGCATTAATAAACAACTCCAACTGGCTCGTTCAGTTGTAGTTACGTTTATTTAGATACGATTTAGAATTAATTTTAAAAAGTGCAGTGAAATGTTGCCTTATGCGGTTATTGTAAAATTAAATCACACATTATGTATGGTTATAATAGTCACCTTTTTCTACTCTAGGGTCAACTGTTCATTTTATTTTAAAATCGGCGCCTGCCGTCATGGTGATCGCTGTTCAAGAATACATAATAAGCCTACTTTCAGTCAGGTAAGTTTTCATTTAAATATTCTCTATGCCCTACATGATTAACTAACAAATTCAATGTTTCATCATTAAAATTTTAAAGACTAGATTATTGTTGCTATCTAGTGCTGATTATAAAATTGTAGCCACGGACCGGCGGTTTGTGCAACCGCTAGACAATGATGTCAGGAAAACATTAGTTTAAACTCAATTTCGATGAAAGTCACACTACAATTTATTACTTCAATGAACAATTTGCAATTTATATTGACAATTAAAAACACTTGGTATAACTGTAGGAACAATTGCGACAAAGATACATAATCATCTATTCTACAGAACTGACTTGTGACCGACTAGTAACTAATAATAATAATACTACTGGGAATGCAGGCTGGCTCTTGCTGGAATATTAATACAAAATATAAATGTATCTGCTAATGATACACCTAATTGATGAGGATTCAAAAAAAAAATTCATGAAAAATGTTTGTTGACATATCAAAAATCTAAATCGCTATATGTTAATTCAATTTTATAATCTTTTGAGTTCTTTTGTGAAGCATGCCTTTACATAATTTACAAATTTGTTGATTTAAAAAAAAAATACTGGTCATGTAAAATATTACATACTGTATTTACTCTTTTAAATAAACAAAAATATTGTGTACTATAGGTAGGTTACCTTTAAAATATGGGAATTAAATTCCTAGAGGATAACTTCTGTGAGCATTCTTCATAATTTTGAATTTTACTAATTGGTGTTTTACAAGTAATCAAAGTTAAGTATAATAAGACATTTTACTGTAAACTAATAATATTTAAAATAGTTTTATTACAATTCACATTAGGTACCCCTTAGTTTTTTGAATTAAAAAAATACCTCCAATTCTTTATGATAGGCATCAATATTAATTTATCAATATTGAAGTATATCAGATCTATATCTTTGAAAGCCTGATGCAAACATAAATATTAGATCCAAAGTAGGTACCTGTAGACGCATTAGTTAGTTATTTCAAGCAATACAGCACTAACTGACCTCAACAAATCTACCAGTGTTTAAACAAAAAAATTATTTGTTATATAGTATTATATAGTTATTTTGTCACAAGTATCTTTACTTTTATTATGATTATTGTTATACCTAACTTATGATTTCATTGTTAGTAGTTTTAAAATTAATCTTTGGTAATTAAATTTTTTTAGACTGTACTATTGCAAAATCTTTACGTAAATCCACAAAATTCTGCGAAGTCTGCTGATGGATCACACTGTAAGTAATAATAATAAACAATAATAAACAATGCAATAGTTTCCTTGTATGAATGCAAAATTAAAAATGTCTTATTTTTTTTGATGTTAAGTAAATTTATGTAATATTTTCTTTAAATGATAGGATTTTAAAACAATATGTTTTTACAAATTCAAATTGATTAAATTGGTAATATAATTTAGCTATAGTATATATCTTGAATAATATAATATAATTTTATTATTGTTAGGTTGTATTCCAAAATCATTTTTGGTTTAAAAACATATTTTTATTTGGGTAGAGCTATTTATAAATTTGTTTAAATTAAAGCTTTTTTCATGAACAAATGATATGAATACACGCTTATATATGATTGAAATTTATTAATTTACAAGTGAATAAGTGAAAAAGGTTTTTATTGTTATTTTAACTATAATGTACTATTATAAACAAATTCAAAATACCTATTGAATAATAATTTTTCAATTAATATTAACTTATTTATCTAAAAGTACTAAATAATTATTAGGTTTAATTTTTTACTTTTATGTTTACAGTCGTTGTCAAATATCTTGAAAGAGTGTACTTTTTGTAGCTTGAAGACTCTGCTCTAGCTTGAAGACTACAACTAACCAGTGTTTTTAAAATTTAAATTAAATTTTTTTAATAGTCATTTTCACTCATTATTTATTTAAAATAAGAATAGAAAAAATTAATTAATTTTACTAAATCAATTCAGGTTGTCTGTTATAGGAGTGAATATGGATGTTTGCATCAATATGGGATTTTGACCAGTAAAAACAAAATATGTTGTTTACCACTCCTTCAAGATATTTGATAGATATTATCTTTATTTTTAAATACCTATGGAGTTATAATATGGTAAATTATTTGTTCAGTTTAGAATCTGCCCAACGTTTGATCATCTATATTATAGATTCTATAACATAACTTACTATAAAAAAATTTTAATTTTTAAATCGTCTTAATCTGTTGCTTATAATGCTTTAATATTCAATTATGAGGACATGATACCAAAACGTGTATCATATAAATCGTAATTTTTGCGTCTGTCATCTCCTTTTGGAGCAATGAAAATGCATGGATTTTTATCAGTATCTTTTTTCGTTTGGAAAGTAAATCTATTTTTTAGTCTAAAGTAAAACATTCTCAGTAATTTTCTTAATATTTTGAAAAACAAAAAAAATAAATTGGGAAAAAATGAGAATTTATACATAAAAAAGCTTTTGATAAAAGCTATTTTTTTGTAATTATTCAGTAACGAATAATTTAAGATGCTTAACTTCTTTATACTGGAACTAATAAAATAGATTTGTGGAAAGGCACATTTTTTTTGAGCAATTTAAGTTCAAATTTTAACAATATTGCATATTTAATTATATAATGATCTATTCTCCTTTTGTGTTAATGTTCATATTTTTAAACAGTGTTTTTCATAGGCTTTTGATTTAAAATTTGAGTGAAATATAGTAGTCACAAGTCAGGTATACAATTTCAATGATCGAATAATTATTTAACTAATTAATAAATAATATCAAAAATCAGAATTCTTATGATTCTAGATAATTCTTTCTTACAAGTTTATATTGGTGTTTTTACTTTAAACCCTTTCAGTAAGCCATGTTATTGGGAGTACAATAGTATATTTTCTACCATATTTTATTTTGCTGTTACCTCTTAAAATATGATTTTATCATGGAAATGTTTTGTTTTATAATATATATTAGTTTATTAGTTATTAAACATTTACATCAAAAATATAACCTTCCACTTGTATATCTAATTATTAAATATTTTTCATTACCCATTTGTTGATATATAAAGGTGATAATATAAGTAATATAGTTTGCTCATTAAACGAATGTGTGTGGTTATTTATAAGCTACTATTTGTTATTAGCCAAATATTTTATTTAATATTAAAACTTAAAATTATATTTAAAACATTTTGAAGTATACAAGATAGATTGTACACCATTTTTTGATTAAAAATATACATTATTATATTTTATGTATGCATTTGACACAATATTTCGTATGATCTGTATTCATTATTTGTTTTTTAGTGGTTTCAAATGTAACTGATGAAGAAATGCAAGAACATTATGATAATTTTTTTGAAGATGTTTTCGTAGAATGTGAAGATAAGGTAAAAATCTAAGTTTTAAATTGTATTGTTTAAACTTTTAAAGTTAAACTCAAATTAAGGATAAATAATGGATTCAAGTTAAGGTTTACCAAAATTAAAAATCTTGTTAATGTTCGTATTATATGTTTTTAGGTTTTACATAAATTAATTGTGTTCTCCCAGACAATAACTTGAAATTATTATACCTATTTGAATTAATATATGCATTACTGTATTTATTTTTATTAATTATATTACATTTAACTATTTGTTTTCTTAGTATGGTGAAATTGAAGAAATGAATGTTTGTGACAATTTAGGAGATCATCTTGTTGGCAATGTTTATATCAAGGTAAAATATATTTACCTATTTAGAATCATTTTTTATATTATGCTCGTTCATTAGTATATCAATTATTTTTTTGGGCCTGATCAATTTTTGATGGAATTTAAAAATTTTTTTTTCACAAAAGCAAAATTAAATTCAGATATTCCTAATGGTATATTTTGTACTTATTTAAAAAAATACTAGTTTCGTCGAGAAGAGCATGCAGAAGCAGCTGTTAACGATTTGAATAATCGATGGTTTGGTGGACGTCCAGTTTATGCTGAATTGAGCCCTGTGACAGATTTCCGAGAGGCCTGTTGTCGTCAGTATGAAATGGGGTAAGGATAGAAATCATAAATAAAACAGCAGAATTAATTTATAGTGATATTCAAATAGAATTTTTAAACAATACATTAGTATTTAGTACTCATAAAAACTATTTAGAATTGAATAGAACTATAATAAAAGTTAAGTAAAGACTCAATTTTGTTACTATGATCAATTATCAATTTAAAATTTGTATGTTTATTGTAAATGTTTGTAATAGTTGTTAATAAAGTATATGTAATTTTGATTTCTAGAGAGTGTACTCGTAGTGGATTTTGCAATTTCATGCACTTGAAGCCAATATCACGAGAATTACGTAAATATCTTTATAGTCGTCGATCACGCAGACATCGTTCACGTAGTCGTTCACGTGATCATGTTGGAACACGTAGAACCAGATCACCTTCTCCAAGACATGGCCATCGTGGTGGTGGCGGCGGCGGTGGTGGTGGCGGAGGTGGTGGCGGTGGTGGAGGAGGAGGAGGAGGAGGAGGACGAAGAGATCGTAGATATTAATTATTATTATGTTTCTATTCTAGCGAATAACTTTTTTTCTCGAAGTTGAATGGCTTACCATTAAACAACTTGATATTTACATGTAATTTGTGTTTTAATTTTATAGATAAGGTAAAGCTTAAAAAAAATAAGAACTTAATAACCAAGATAGTTTGTTTATTTATCTTCCTGTTTTACAAAAATACATTTAATATTATTTTTTCTGGTTAGTCATAAACATCTAGTGGTTAATTATATTTTTTTCAATAAGTAAATGACCTTTGAATTGTAAACCATTAATACTGATAATAAGGAAAAAACAATATTATAACTACATTTTTTAATTGTGTTTATATACATGCCAAGTTGTATAATATCTGTGTTTTAATAAAAATACACTTTAAATCTTATAATTATGTAAGAAATCAATGCTTTTAACACAAATGTTTTTTTTTTATCCTATTACTTGTTGAAACTTGTGGTTTTTTTTGCAATTATAATTTATTCCAGTGTTTTAAATATGCCACTCTCTAATAGTGGTCATTTGGGTGTTGTGAGTTGAACTAAGTATATTCATTGGTATAAAAATGGTCAAGTGGGTACTGTGGCTCACTGTCAGTGCGGGCCTGACCCACCAAAGGCCTATGGATCAGTTTTTTTAAGGGGCCCATAATGAAGAGCCTTGGGCCCTTAAAAGAAAAATGATGTACGGTTAAATATATCAATAGATGCTCAACGGAGGTTCTATATCTTGCATAGACCTGAAACACTAAGTAAATGAAAAACAAAAATAAAATTGGAGAGGCCCTGGCTGCATTTGTGTCCAGCAGCCATGGCCAGGCCGATTGATCACTTTTATGAATGTGTTACATTTTTATTCCCCTGAGCGGAGATCAGCCTGTATCAAGTATATTTCATGATATGTTTTTGGATGTTTCTATTAAAGTAAATTATTTTACTATTATTTATTAGTATTTATTAGTATTATGCTCGGTTGATTTAATTCTTGCTAAAAACATTGCATTTATTATATTAATTAGTATTTAATTATTGTAATAGTATAGTGTACCTATATTTCTATCATTATTTTTTATAGCTATTAATCTTAGAGTCAATATCACCTTGCTATAGAACAGTGTGAATAGGTTCATGATATAAATATTTAATAGCTTAAAATCACAGACTTCTATTATACTACACTTTGTAAAAATCTGTGCTTAAAATTAATCTAAATTTTTAAGTCCCCATAAATAATGTTTTTGAATTACAACTTTCAATGTCTATAAAAAAAAGATTTTTTTTTTTAGAATTTTTGGCTTTAGTATGAAACTACTTATGAGGAATTTTGTATAACATTTTCAAATCTTTTAAAAATTGAACATTTTATATTCCAGTTTTAACAAAAAAATAGTTTACAAATGTTCAAGATTTTGTCAAGATTAGAACTTAGAATGCATTTAAAAAAAAAAACTACCTATGAATCTTTAATATTTTAAATACCTACCTAACATAAAAATAATTGTTGTCCATACATTTTTTTTTGTTGGCATTTATAGAAGAAAGCTAAAAAAATTTAAATTTTATAATGTCTTAAAAAGCTCAAAAGTTAAAATATTTTGAAATATATTTAATATAGAAATATAAATATTTCGTGAAAATATCCAGTATCTACAATTATCACCTATTCGTTTTTGAATTACAAAATAATATCAAAAATGATTTCGAGGAGGAATAGTTATTTTACGGGCGAATGTAATAATTTGAACTTCAAATGCTCATGAAAAACTAATGTAACTGTCTGAGTAAACTAATGAGAAATCTTGTATTCAATTTTTATATTTTAAATAGTTAGACGTGTAAAGAAAAAAAGCGGGTAAGTGGATGTCGCTCTGCTGTGTAGTAGGTTACAAGTAGGTCACAGTAGTTAATGGACGGTGTTAAACTTGATTTCAATGATATACCATCATTGTTTAGGAAAAACGATTCTGAGCGTGGGCAGTCTGTTTAATATTAATATTTAATATATTTCTTATAAGTTATAAGTAATTATATTTTATGATATCATTGTGATTTAAAATAATTTATTTTACTATTACAGGCACAAGGGATTAGTACCTACTATACAGTTGGTTAAATTCATTTTTGTATAAAAAATTTGTTTGAAAAAATCATTGTGTGTATAAAATATAATAATTTACTCTAATATGTTCATGTTCCCTTGAATAATTTTTTTAAATTGCAACAAAATTAAAATTGTTATTCTTGGTTTTAATATGTAATTTGGTCCAAAATTGAAATTAGAATACGTTTAAAAAAACTGTGTTTTTATGTTTTTCGATTACAGAATGAAGTGGGTACTTACGTGGAACCTTGTTTTAAATTTTAAATCTTTTGCTACTTAAATTAGACATTGTAGATATTTTTAACTACCTACAAAATAATTTGTAAATTTTCAATTTGATAAATGTGGTCGAATCTAACTGCTCTAACAGGTGGAACACGACGGTGGATGTAAAACGTCATAATTTTCTTTTAAATTCCTTATTAAAATTGTATTCAGTTGTAATTGCAGTGCTGTGCATTATCTTGATAAATAGGTACAACTGTTATCATTATATCATTTTTATTAATGTCACTTGATTTTTACCGTTTTTAAAAAAATTTTAGAATCTGAAATTCAAAGCAACGAGTCAACTGCCACAGTTAGTTCACGAGGCGTCAGCCGGACTGCGTAATTATGAAATGTTAGTAGGTATGTTTAAAACCAAGCAAAATAAATTGACAATTTTTTTAGATCTAATTATCTGTATTTATTATTATGTTTGTATTATACAACAGTCAATCAATTGTCATTAGGTACTTTATTAAACAATAAAATTAAGTAATCGTGGCGTGGTTTTTAGCTTAAGTTACAAATGTCTTCTGAACCACCTGGTTTCTTAGTGACAAATCCTTGTCAAACACACATACACGTCTTCCGAACTAACCTAATCCTCCCTCATAAAAAAGTACAAAAACTAAAAAAAACTTGACAATTTTATCATATTTGAAAAATAGTCATAAACATTTGATGTGAATTTAAAGTATCTTCAGTTATTCGTTTTTGAGTATATATTATATGTAGTCATGTAGGCACTATAAATAGGCACTAGAGCAAATGGAGTGGCATAGAGTGAAGGTTGTAGGTATGTACAGATTTATTTGGATTAGGTTTAATGAACCATTTTTGTGTACCATTCAGACATTAAGTTGAGATGAGTTTAGAGATTTGCAGAGGTAGGTAGTAAAACGGTTTTTGTCTATAGATATGATGGATTTGTCTTCCACGTTATCAGGTATGGACGATAGTATTTTTGGAGATGGTCTGAACTTGAAGTGTAGATGGAAAAAGGATTCCACCCTGAGAATTGGGGAACACCAGCGAAAATTTTCGAGAATCTAGTAATAGTAATAATAATAATAATAATAATAATATATTGTTTGAATTATCGATAACTGATAACCACGATTTAAGATAGTAAGATACTATCTTAAATCGTGCTGATAACCGATATTTCGGCTTTATATTACTTACCTATACAAATCTGTATCCATAGAGCATACAGGGGTGTATAATATATATTATATAGGTAGGTCACTCGATAACACTAACAAACAAATCAAATACAATATCATAGTTGTACATATATTTTTTTTTAACTTAAATAACAATAATAATTTAATCTTTTTCCAAAGTATAATAATATTTATAACAACTCACCACGTTTCACCGTTATAGTAAGTATATTTAATTTTTAGGTAAAAAAAAAAAATAGGATGATAACAACTTTATAACCAAATACAGTTGGCTTATTTACACAAATCATATTTAGAAATATAGTATATTAAACCAATATTAAATATACATTATTTATTTTTAACATTTTTGTATGAACTGCAGATAGGTAGGTACCTATACCACTTTCTCCTTGTATCTGTATGGACGGACAGACACACGTCTGTCCGTCCATCTTATGTCTATCGTATAGGTACGTACTATTTAATATCGTTATTCTACTTTGTTTCAACTAACTATTTAAGTTTTTTATACACAAGAGAGACAAACAAGATTATTAACATTCAAGTTGATAGCACTTAATGTAAGAAGAAAAAAAAATGTCCCCTATAGGGCATTTTAATTATATTTACATACACATCGAATAATTTGATAAGACTAACGTAAAAAAAAATATACATTTATAAATATAAATAAATATAAACTTAAGTAGGTATCTAAATGACAGTAGATGAACCGTAGAGTGTAGACGTTACACATTATTTTGTTGACAAAAAACTGGAATACAAATATAATGTTTAATATGCTGGTTGCTGTATATAGTATATTGTTGTATAAATTAAAACGAATTCTGAATATTAAACATCAATATATTATATAAATACATAGGGTAAGATTTATACATTCCATTAAAAGAATATTATAATGTTACACTTTTTACAGCCAATTGTGTTCAATATTTTTGTATAATTTCAAAAAAAAAGTCCTCATGAAATATTGTAATACGATTATATAGTAACAATAGTGTAAGGTAGATATATAATATATAATAATTATGACGTATAGTCAAAACGATTTTTGTGTGTTATAGTTTATAATATTTTTTTCATCGTATATCTAGTATATTATTATACCTAGTTGAATATTATGAAACACGGTTATTAATTTATTACAATTTTGTTATAATAATACAATATAGGTAATATATAGCTATCTCCTACCTATCATAACAGGTAGGTTATCAAGACCTCGAATTATTAGTGTGGTAGTGACCGGATATTTTTTGAGATTTGTATTAAGTGGGTACCCTTTGGGGAAGGCACTTACTTGTTAGCAATTAATAATCCGTAAGGGGATGTCGGTACCGTAAAACCTTGCAGCATGCGGTGCTTAACCTAATATTATTGAAAGAGTATACAGAGTGTATCTAGAAAACAACGAATGTCACCATTAGGATACACTGTGAAGTAGACTAAAATCGAAAATCGGAAAATGTCAAAATCATGTAGGTTACTTACACTGGAGTTACTTCCTACCTCTTTCTACCTGTTCATAGCTGACTGTATAATACTATATATGCAAGATACATTTGTTGATGCCTATCTAACGTAGTCGATAATCATTGGTATCAAACGTAGAAACGACAGGTGTCATGGTTTTTTCGATTATGGCTCCGAATGATGTAAAAACCATGGTGAAGCATTATACCTACATTTCGTATGATGAATTTCTAGATAGGTACCATTGAATATTCGCCTTATCTTAAACTGAAGTCGTTATTTATGAGCAAAAATGTAAGACCCCTTGTTCTTTGACTTAAGAAAAAAAGTTTTCAAATTGAAATCGGGAGGATTTCTTTATGAGCCTCATAATATTTTCGAATATCTACATCATATCGAAGCCTTGTCATTCGCGATAATTGCTAGTGAATAGTTCAATAGGTAGTTGTAAAGTCCAGATCAATTGATCATTTTTGCCATGATAAAATATCATCATCGTTGCGTTCTAACACGTATTAGATGGGTAGGTCATAATTAGTAAGTTTCATTATAATGCCGTGAGAATTTCCACTTGTGAAATATTTTTGGAAACGAAATAAAATTTTTAATAAAATACGATACTCTAACGAATATCCTCCTTCAATTCATACGCACAGGTGCCGAAACGTATATTGTTCGAATGATGTATTATTCGATCATTGCATATAATATATTTGCATGTAGGTAATAGGCAGGTATTACATTTTGATCTCTTTTTTCAATGCACGAACATTCGAAGGCGTTTAGGGTTGTGCATGTATATACTATATATTATATTATGGTACGATAACTGCAACAGTCGACGATGTGCGACGAAAAAGAAAAGTTTACCCCAATCCCACGCAGTAGTCGTCTTCTCTATATTATTATGCACAAACACGCATATTATTTTGGGTAGTACTACTTACACGTATATATTGAGACATTCTTAACATAATATACCTATGAATATTTATGTACATACAATACACACAACAGACAACATTAAAATATTTCAAAGTCCCGTCTTTCGGTAAAACAAGTGGTGGTGGCGGTGGTGCAGTTGTCGGCAGCACATGCGAAACGATTCGCCACAATGCCATCCATGTAGTGATAATGATTGTTGTTCGGATATTATAATAATAATACGGCGTGATCGCTGTGCAGGTGTTTCGGACGATGACCCGTCACTATCTACACGGGCCCTGGGAATCAACTGGACAGCACCAGACAGCACAGGGTCAGCAGCCACCAGCCGGCCACGCAGCACACCAGAGGACCTGAATTACCGTCGTGTACCGCCGCCGGTTGTTCTCCTGCAAACACGTACGAAATGATCAGTAAATTCGACGAAGAATTATTATTTATACACGAAAATTATTTCTACGGCATCATTGATATTATTATGCATCGACGTGTACATTGATTATTGCAGGTGGCAGAGTTTTGAATCCCAACTATCTATATCTGGCTACAGACGCTGCAATTTCGATTTGGCGTGCTTTTATTTTCCCAGATGGATGTTATCTGCAGCAGGTAGTGATTAAATAGGATCATTGTACTGCGTTATATTTTTAATTGTCAAAATAAAATTATGATAATATTGTAAACGCAGATACACTCGAAAATATATAAATATACATTTGTATCGACCACATTCGAGTCGAAAAAAAAATGTTTCCTATAAATCACATACGTTATCGGTAGGTACGTGCATATTTTTTTGAATGGTACTTAAACTATCATACATATTCATAGCATACAGTTTTGGATTCGAGTTCGGAAGGAAGTAACTGCTATTATAATGATAATCGAAAGTTTCGTATCGTCCGGTGTCAACAATAGTAACACGTTTATGCCGATTTACCTAGGTACCTATAGTGTCGTCATCATTATTTTCAGTGATTGAAGCTGTCGTTTCTCAATATTCTCTACCTTAAACTCACTTGCCGTAATGTATTTTAGTATGAAAATAATTGTAATTTAGGTTCGGTCCAGAGTGTTAAACTATTTTGCTTTATATATAACAAGTACATATTTATGTTGCATTGAATTTTGAATTTTATAGTGTCCAAGTATTCTAAGTAGGTATCTTAAAAATTTGACCATTCTGAAAAAGCAGGATAAGTAACCTACCTAGCAAGGTTTATATTTGTGTAATATTTCACAGAATATTATGATATAAATCAATATAACATCATCTAAATAAATTATTCATCTCAATTAGGCAAGTACTAAACGTGTCATATATATTCATATTACTATGCATGGTTTTTAATTCAAAATCAATGAATTGCTAAAAATTAGTTCCACCTCTATCCAGATGAATTAAAAAATTTAATTTTGTTTTCCAATTAATTTTAGAGAAAAAAAGGTTTTTCATCCTCGTACAATTAATTTTAAAAACCTGTAAAAAAAACCACCAGCTTATATTATTTTCATTTTGCATGGTTCAAACGACTAAACTTTTTTCAAATATTTAATGTAAAAAATAATAATGTATTACGACAACATTTTCTGTACCTACATCTATATGTCAAAGTTTGAAAAAAAATTATACGACATCAAATCTATATTTATCTTATTACTATTGGATGTATAAATTTACAATTATATAATTGTTATTAGATAAAGGAGTAAACATTGTTTGAAAGAATTTTAAATGTAATCTTAATTCATTATTCATTAACCATTGATTCATTTTAAGTCTATTTCTGTGTCATAATCCGTCTGGTTCAAACATATGCATATGCCTGCTGTCACGAAAACGATATTTATATAATCTGCAGTGTATTTAATTTGTTAAAATTTATATTTTGAACTATACGATGGAGCTATTGATTTTACTGTGTAGTGTTATGAAACAACATATAAAAAACATAAACATTTTTGAAGAAATAAAAGTTTATTTACTGAAATAATTGGACTTGGTTGACAGATTTTTTACGATTATCAGTTAAAAAATATTCAAAAATGGATAATACTGTGATCAAGATTACACTCATACGCAACCTAACCACACATCACACATGATGTGTCAGTAATTCATTGCTCCTGTCAACAGTATTATAAGTAATCGATTTTGTTATTCCCTAATATCTACCGGATATGATTAAATTCAAATTGTCCTTAAGGTTATACACTGGATATCATCTTTTTTTTTATTCAAAAGGATCATTTACCGTATAATCGTTTACTCTAAGGACAATGGTTTGGACTTAATAGATCTGATTAACGAGTCTCGATTGAATATTTATCTTCAAAATGTTTTAAAATTAATTTTCTGAAATATTTAATTATGTTTAAAAATTCTTGGAATGTATTAATATAATTATATAACATAAAACAGATTTTGAATTAATAGATGGAGATACGTAGTGCTTTAACTTTTAATTATGTTTCATACATTTAAGGAGTTTATTTGATTACAAAATGAATCACTGAGTTGGAAGTAAATTACTCTCGTGTTCATTAAAAAAAAACGATTTAAAAAATATTAGCTTTTAAAATAACTAATTAATTAAAATCGTTTACACATTTAACTGTGTAATTGAATAAGATTCAACTCACGGGAATATGTTTTTATTTTGTTCTGTTTGTTCTGTTCTGTTTTGAACTTTTTATATACTCTTGTATAAAAATGATATTATAAATTTTTACAAACATAACAATTCAAAATTATTTCATTTGTTTCCTTTAAAGTAAATCATATTAGGCACTGAAATTAAAAATTTGTATTTTAATACGTAATACATATTATTATTATACATTATTTTTATGATCCCAAAGTATTAACTATTAAAGTTAATCATATTAGGTCGAACATTTGTAAATCGAGCGAATAAAACCACTCAGTGAAATGCGGTCTCCATATTTATTTTCAGATTTTTCTAGAAAATATTTTGTGAAGGGTGGTTTGGACGACAGCGGAATAATTTTGGTACGACACGATGACATTTCAGTGTGCTACAGACAAACGTGTGAAGCGTTAGAATAATTATATCGACTTACGGATATCTTACCTATAACCATATGGACATATAAATACAATTTGTCTATGAGTATAACTTCCAATAATAAAATAATTTGAATTACATGCATGACGTGGGCACGAAATAGGATTACAGAAGAGATTAGCCAAACATAATTTATTCGGCGAAATTCACTAGGTCTGGCAAATGCAAGTATAGTGTAACAATAGTAATAATATGACAGAATATGATATTATATAACATAATATTAATATGTAATTATGAAAAATTATTTTGAAATATTTCTTCTTCTCTATTATTGCGAGTGGACAATTTTACATTAAACTAATATAGTTGACCACCATCTATTAACAGTCAAAATGCATCGGATTAGGCGTTAATATGGTACTAAACAGTAAACGTGAAATAAAAGCCATGAAGTTCTTCACTCGCAGTTGGTACGAAAACAGTAAACACGTATGTACTTTAAGCTCGAAACCAATAATTGTAGATACGTTTTTTTTATTTTATTGATCTTAAGCCCGAGCAACTATGGACATCAGCTATGTAACACGAGTGTGTGTGTGTGGCGAGTATTTGTCACTAAAAACCCGGCTGGTCACCCATCTTGGAACTAGAGACACCACCGGCCGATGGTTACACTCAGAACACGTTTCTTGACTAAATACAACCACCAAGCCACGCCAGGTCACAATAAGTGTGTGCTTAAAATAGAGAGCCATACATTGTTATATCGAAAAACGAAATGTCACAATTTCAGATGTACTTATGATAAAGTTTATGAAATGTTAAAATATCTATACTGTCATCGGCGTTTAAGTTTAGAAAATTGTTTTCAATTGTTATGATTTAAATTTAATGAACTTAGAATTATGATTTTCATCGCTGTACCTATTACTCGCACATTTAAAGCATAAGCCGAAATCTTACTGTGACCAGTAGAGTATGAATACCATTTTTACTTTTAAAATAAAATACACCTTTCTTTTAGGACAGTAGTTGTCTGTTGTAGTCAGTGTAACTGTGTTATATAAACACCCAAATACAACATTGGAATAGTATATTTTTTCTTTGAGATGAGAAAATATTTAAATACCGTGCAGTGCAGTAAAGTCTTATAGTACGAGTAGAATTGTATCGCCAACTCTTAATGATTTTTTATTGTCAATAACAGTTAAACTATTCTTATTTATTATTATTTTCTGTATTCACATTTTTTTTTTTTTTTTTTTTTAAATTTAGAAAAAACCATTTAGACAACATTTTTTAACTGAAATTACTTTAGACTATTCAAAGGTATTTACATTAATTCGGATGACATTTTCCGTTCAAATATAAAAATACTGATATAAAATGAATTCCAAGAAAACATTATGTTGCTATTACAATATTACATTGTTACGAAAAGTAAAATATGACATCTCATTAATTTTGACTGTAAAATGGGTAAAATACGAATGTGCGTATAATTGAGGAAAAGTTTGAGTTAAATATTGTTGATTGGAAAAAAAAATCATTATTGTAATACACTGTTATTGTTGTTTTTAATTCGAAATCATTTGTATTAAAGTCCCGTCATAGCGCTAGGACTCGATTGGAAACGAAACGCATTTATTAATCAGCCACGTGAAAAGTACGAACCGATATATTATTATTATAATAGAAGTATATTCGAGAGGAATATTGGCGGAACGAAATGTTTTTTTTTCACTTTGACCTGGTTTGAAAATAGTAATTAGGTAGTACCTACATCGATCCGTCGGGCATCGTGATTTTCGCATATAATAATAATATAATAATATTGGTAGTAATATATGCTTTGTAAAAGGAAAATCAATCATGAAAGAGGTTTTGTTTTAACTTAAAGTAAGTTTTTTTATGTGCATAAAAAATCAAGTCCAATCGTATTATTGTCGGTGTCCAGAGACATGGTTAATAAACTGCATTGTAACCATTTTATTATTATAATAATACATCGACATGTCACATATTGGCTCAGCCGGAATTGGTCAACGCAGATAAATATAATATTCTACTGCAGCGAAGGGTTGTTAAAATATGCCTCGCAAATCTCTGCAGCTATTATAATATTATTATGATATCGTTGTGAGTCTAACGACGAAGAACAAAGGCTGAAAGCGTATAAAAAATTACATATATGCGTATATTGTTGTTTGGAAAAAATAAAATGCACGATCGGAGCACGCTGAGGTTTGTAAGATATTATATTGTATGATCGTGATTTTGCCACGTCCGGCGGGCTGCGTTTTATATATTTTACTTTCGACAGGTCTGCAAAAACGTTATGGTAATAATAATATAAC